CCCCCCCCCCCCCCCCCTTTAATTAGTACCTAACATTCTTTATGATTCTCCTTTTGGGATCACAAATTATGACAGTTAAATGGACCAGACCGATCGCTAATGATGATATTTAGCAACTACCATCATACAGACATGTGAAAGAGTATGGAAGTTGGATACAGATATGTGTCTTTCTGAAATTCAAGTAGCTTACATAATGCGGTGGAAATGTGTCTAAGGTATTGAAATCATACACTACAGTATCAAAGTTGCAATCATAGTATGAAGACAAGTTTGATGCCCAGACAGAACACAGTGCACTACAGAAGCATGAGTTCAGGAACCAGTAAGTGGGCCAGGGCTTGTTACAGACAAATATCTTCACACTTCAGTACGGATGTAATGAATCTGCTATGGCCTGCTCTTAGGCACGGCCTTATTTGAATTCGGCCCAATATGTTATATTTCTTCATAGCGGGGACCACCAATATATTATCTTACCACAAATATTTTTTTTTACAAAAGGAAATTTCTTACCGCGAATATAGCATCTAATAATTGCAACTAATTATTAGATGATATTACTACCTTTATATCATCTAATAATTAGTTGCAATTTTTTTTTCTGTGGAGAATATTCACCTCCATCACTTGCTCAAAAGTCAAAATCTATATGAAAAATATTTTTATAAATCAGACAAACCATTAAATTGAATATACGTTTTTCTTGTTATTAATAGGAAATAATATATATATACATAAGAAAATATTATTATTTGTTTTAAAACGTGTTTTAGAAGAAAATATTTCAAACAAATTTTAAAAAAGGCAATAATCAATAATGTCTTGAAAAAATCGGTTCAAAGTGATTTTCTAACAGATGCTTACTCGGTTCTTAACTCTTATCCCGATTATTTATTAATTAGTTTCTTCAGTAGTTTGAAATAAAATTGATAATGTAATGATTCACAATCCAGTTGATCTAATTTAACTTTAAAATTTGTGATTAAAAACACCTTAAATTTCAGGAGCCAAAATAAGAATAATTTCAAAATAAAATAATATTAAAACAACTCTTAATCTTAACAAAACTTAATATTAAACGAGTGACATTATTCATTTGATCCTTCTTTTCTGTTTGATTGGCTGAATTTAATCATAGTTTTTAAAAATAAATATAAGGCTGCCATTTTTATATAATTTGAATTAACAATATTGCATTCTTGTACACTTAGTGGCACCAATCATTTTTTTTATTGTGTTACATGTAAAATAAATTAACTCGTCAGTCTAAATTAGATAAAAATGATAAAATTATATTATTTTAAAAATAAAAAAATTAAATAAAAATTTAATAATAAAAATATCAAATTAAATCAATTAAATAAAAATAATGACTAAAAGAGTAATTTAGCCTATTAAAATACATGTCTAACTCTTTTTTTTTTTTTTTAACTAAAAGAATATGTCCAACTTGAATTACAAATATAATTTATTTGAAATCAAGATGCTAAAATTAGAATTAAATTTTTTCCTCGTACGAGAACTAATAATTAGATAGAATCAAATTCTTTCGGCATATGGAAACATTAAACATGTAGAAATGAGATTATTTCATTTTATTTTTTATAGGACTTTTGTTTAAGTGACCCTTATTCGTAAGATGTTCACGATCCATCTTTGATCATTGATCTAGCGCGGGTACTTAAAAGTTAACTTTGATGATCTAATATTTACAAATTAGAATCCGTGTTTTAAAAATAGATATAAATATTGTATAGGGAGGAATGAGACAATCGTGTGTCGTGACACTGACACATTATACGTCATTCGCTAACTCACCTCACTTCAGCGTGAGGCATTTGGTCACTCCGTCTTGGTCATATCGATTGTCGATATGGTCGAGACGGCTTTAGGCATTCGATCATGTTGTCTTGGTCATATTAGTTGTTGATATGGCCAAGATCACAGTAACCTTAGTGTTAACCCCTTGATCACGTGGTCTTAGTCATAATAGCAGTCGTTATGGTCGAATGAAATGTATATTGACGATTTCCCAATTGTTAAGATTGTGCCAGCCTTGTCGGCAACCGAGAGCCGAAAGCACAACCTCGGTTGAGATGCCCAAGTATGTTATTAGAAGGGAGCTTTATCGACGACTCGTACCTCTCGTCTCGGCCAATGGCCAAAAGGGCCGAGAACACGACATGAGTAGCATGATAATCACAACTAATAAGGATAACAAGAGATTAAGGAATAATCAATCATCGATCACCATATTACCTAATTTGGTAAATCATGGAACTAGTACGAGGACTATCACGCATAGGACCCATTATGGTTAATATATATAGTCACACAAAACAAGGTATGGTTACTGTTCATTTATCACTATTATCGATATTCGTATTTATCTTAACTTGAGCGTTGAAATACCTTTTACAGATACCTCTTCACTTGCATTGTGACTCGGAGCTCTTGTTAGCAGAATACAAGAAAATTATTAATGTGTCGTTAGATATGTACAAATATTATGCCTCGCGACATTAACCTTATATCATTTTTAAATTTATATTTAATAATTATTTATTAATAATAATTTTATTGATTTGATAAATAATATTTTTCATAACATACTATTTATATTAGTATTATTTATTTTGAACTATATACTATTATATATATATATATATCTTAATTTTTTATATTTTAATTTATAGATTTTACTACTCATAATGTTAAAATTTATGTATTATCCCAATAAATAAATACAGTTGACTGAGTTTTACTAAACTTAAGAGAAAAGATAAATATTGTTCCTCCTATTTCATTATGATTCAAGAGGAAACATGTATTTCGGTGAGTCTCATGATATGTTTTTTTTCTCTTAAATAAAAGTAGTAAATTAATTTTTTTTTATCATGTCTCTTTTCTCTTTGACTTTTATTATTATTATTTTTTATTTTACTTCTATCTAAACAAACAAGGAGTGTTAATTAGCTCTTCAACTATTTGTTTTTCACAAAAGTTTTTTTAAATTTATAATTCGTAAATTGGTTTTGTTAAGAAATAAATAAAATGGCTTTAGTGGAACTAATCATACTCATTCTGAAATCATTACGTTTATAACTAGCTGTGATTTAATTCCACCATGGGATGGGATGTTGCATGAATAGAGACAAAGGTTTGTCAAAAATTTATTTCACATTCTCAAAAAAGCTTTTTTGTTTTGTTGATTGATATGCAAATGGTTATCTAACATACTAACACTAGTTGATGGAAACAGCTATTATCCGAATTATGCTCGCCAGGTATCTCTGGAAGATACCATTTGACTCGGGATTGACTGCAAAAAGTCTTCCATATAAGAATGAAAATCATGTTGGATGTAATTTGATAATTGCCCGATCCTTATTAAAATAAATTCAAATTTTTAAATTGATTTAATCTTTATTATAGTTTATAAGATTTAATCTATTATATTTTAAATATTAATTTTTTACTTTAAAAAATATTTCTACTAAATATATTTTTGACTTCAACAAATAAGTGAAATTTATTTACAATATGTGTTGGTGGACATGATTTACCGTAAAATAGAAGAGAAAAGAAAAGAGAAAATTTGCAGAGGATTGAAAAAAACATGAATGCTTGAGAGCAACAATTTGTGTGAATTTAATCTTATTCAACAAAAACACTTACTATATAAAATACACCGTTCGTCACTTATTTTTAATCTTATTCAACAAGAACACTATATTCGATTATGTATTTACGTACTATATACATGATATATCATTTTTATGTATTTATTTTTAAATAAATAATAAAAATAATAATTAGTTACAATAAATAAAAATTAAATAATATATTTTTACATAAAATTTAACTACATAAAATATAATTTTAAACTTACATTTATTTTTTTACCTAATTTTCACATAATTTCTTAATTTTGTCTTTAAAATGTAAAAACTAAAAAAAATTATTTAAATGTCTCATTAATTTAAGAGTAATTGTAAAAATATAAGACATATTTTCTTGATTTTAATAAAAAAAAAATAACTGGCTTTCTTAGTCTGTGAATTAGTCATTTAAATCTTATATTATATCAAAGGTTGGAGGTAGCATTTTCTTTCCCATCGAGCTTCCCTAACCCACAACTCATTCCGAAAGTAGGAGGCCAAGAACCTTCGGAGGGATGCAAACAAAGCCAATTATTATGCCCTGAACGACTCCAATAACGGAGGGTTTCTTGGAGAAAATAATGTCCAGCCACGTTCCCACCAAGAGGCTCGTGGCGATACAAATGTTCGTGTTCAGCATCACCATCGACAAGTCCGTGTTAGGTGCATACAGATCGTAGTGTTGAAATCTGTAGTGCCCCATTCATCACCTTTTCCAACTTGTTTTTTGCCTTCAGATTAATGTGGTGCCTTTCAAATTCCATGTGTTGATAACTTCATACAGATATCATGTTAGAGAAGAGAGTAACATCCTTCTTGATTGCGTAATCCAAAAAAATTAAATTGTTCTAAAACACCTGTTTTGAAACGTTTTTCGAAACAACTTTTGTTCCGAAATGAGTTCTCCAAAAAATATTGTCCCACAATAGGTGTTCCGAACTGCGTATTTTAAAAAGTATCTTTGATGTAAAGATAATTTAGGAAATTTACATAAACATGGGGTGTTTATGGGGTGCAAGAGGAAAATCCTTGGCTCTTGGTCGATTACTGTATGCAGTCTATTGGGCCAAAGAGTTGGCAGAGGTTGTATTTGAGTTGATTTCTAAAAAGGTGGTTGATAGCATTTAACGCCAACGTCTCCAAATTTGGGCCAGAGCTAAGACCTATGAATGCAGGGAATTGGAGGAAACTCCTTTAATTTTACTTTAATTTGTAAGGAGACAATATAATGCGATTTCTCCTATTCTTGCGGTGGCTACATCTATGAGACTATGACTGGTCCCTATAACTTTTAATTATATTCCATCATGTATTGTGGATTCTATGCTGTGGAAAATGAAACATGTCTATTTCAGTAAAAATAAAATAAAATAAAATAGTATAACTTTGATATTTATTCTTGAATTTATAAGTACTGATTAGATAAACCCAAAAAAAAATTATTGCACTTTATTAAAAAAATACTTTATATTTTAATAAAAATGAAATTGTTAGATGACTATTATAAATATTTCCCAACCAACTACAAAAATCTATCTAACAAGGCGTTCCTCTCCATGCTTTAAACCAAAACAAACCGTTGCGTTAAGCACGAGGTCAACAGATTCCAACGGATCTGTGACCACACAAACACCCACAAAATAAATAAGCACAACACAAGCGCGTGGACTGAAGAGAATATGAACACCCCACGATGAGCGATCTAATCTAACAGGTTAGACGAATGGGACCGCCATCAAACCTCTTTTCTTTGTATCTCCGCAAGAAGACAAGAAAAAATCCAAAATTGTGTTACTATAAATGACGCTCTGCCCTCATCATCCCCAATTCTATTCACATCATTCTTTTATCTTTCGCGTAAAGCATAAGCAAAGCACGCGATCAGACACAGAATTTTAAAGAATTCAATCAGATAACATCATTCTTTTCCGACAAAACCAGCTTTTCTTTTACGCAGTGATGCTGTTCACATTACAAAAGACCCATGAACTTTGTACAGATTTTCATATTCTTATGCCGCTAGTTACAATTCAAAGACCCGAAAAGAAATTCAAAATGAAATATTCCCATCCATCCTCTAAAGACTTTCTACTTACAAAGAAGAGAATGGTATTTCCTTAAACACTAAACATAGGGCCCGGGTGAAATCTAACACCCAAATTAGCCCTCTATCATTATTTGCGAGCTACACATATTTCCCTAC